CGAAAAAGAAAATATTGGAGACAGATTCTCCAAGAACTACAACTAATAAACTAAACTAGTGTCCAAAAGAAACGATACCAACTTATTTTCAAAATTGTTTTTTACTAAGTGAATTGTCTAATATGAAAACATGCCAATTCGTATTGCACATCCCAAACACAGCATAGTCGATAAAAATAACGGGAACACGTGATCACTTCCGGGAAAAAACGTAAATTTCGTGAAAGTGACATTTCCCTGTCTAGCATGTTCTGCACGTGCATAAAAACTGTATAAAAAGGCTCATCAGACACGTTGATATCACAGCAACAAAAAGAACACAAGGTATGCCACTTTTGACAGCCATCGACAGAGAGAGAGCCGTTGGAATGGTCCAACAAGGAACGACACACGTCGACGTTGCCAGAAGGTTGGGCTGCGCACGCATCACTATCACCAGGCTGATGCAACGGTTACGTCAGACAGGTCAGACGTCAGACAGGCCCAGGGGTGGAAGACCACGAGTAACCACGCCCCATGAAGATCGGTACATCCGGGTATTACACCTGAGGAACCGCACCGTAACAGCGACGTCCACGGCGGCTACAGCACTGGGACACAGGATCAGTCGACAGACCGTCTACAGGAGACTACGGCAGTACGGTATCCGGCCACGTCATCCCTACCGCGGACCGCCCCTGACGCCTCGACACCGGAACAACAGACTGATCTGGACCAGACGAGTTCGACGTTGGCAACGGCGGGACTGGGCACGTGTTATGTTCTCTGATGAGAGCAGATTCCTCATCTTCAAAAACGATGGACGGCAGCTTGTATACTGACGATTTGGTGAACGTTTGGCGCCTAACTTTATCCAACAGGTCCGGTCGTTCGTATGTGGTGACGTCAAAACGAGGCTTGTCGTAATTCATGGAAACCTGAATGCACAGCGTTATATTGATGACATCCTACGGCCTGTTGTGGTGCCCTTTATTCAGCAACAGCCTCGTGGACTCCTTTTCCAACATGACAATGCAAGGCCACACACAGCAAGATCGACACAAAACTTCCTTGCCAACGCCAACGTACAGGTTTTGCCATGGCCCGCATGTTCACCGGACATGAATCCCATCGAGCACTTATGGGACCACCTCGATCGGCAAATCCGACTTTGCCGTGTGCCTCCAGTCAACGTCCAGGACTTGGAACGATGTCTCCTCGAGGAATGGCAACGAATCACTCCCAACGTCATCAGACGTTTGACGGCATCAGTCCGTAGGCGTGTTCTGGCATGTATTGATGCTCACGGTGGACATACCCGCTACTGACTTGACTTTGTGACGTGTGGTGTGACATTTCCCGTTGTTTCTGTGATCAGTGCTCTAACGAAATGTTCTTTTTTCGACCCCACCCATCTTTAAAGGCTTGTCATATTGGTTGTACAGATTTTATTGAAATGAAATTTTTGTACAGATGTTGTGAAAGGATTCCTCAAAAGCATAACACCAATCCTAAACTTCTGCATTGTTTAGTTTTTCTTTTATGTCGTTGCAAACAGTTGGTATCGTTTCTTTTGGACACTAGTTTACTTGCTAATACTACTTTAAACTCAGCGAAGGTGAAGAAGACTTTAATTTTTCATCATGCTTTGGTAGCAGAGCTGAAACTAAAAAAAAAATAAAAAAGGTAAAGGAAACAAAGCAGAATTATTATCTGGGAAAATTTTAACAAAGTACAAGCTTTTGAATGAAGCTCGAACAGAATTGAAGCTGTCTCGACGACAATTAAAGGCCGGAACCAGTAATACTAAAGGCAAAAAATGTGGCAACCCGGGTATCCCGATAAGGTATAAAAGAGTGGTATCAAACTTTTATGAAAGAGATGATGTAAGTCGAATAAAACCTGGAAAAAAAGATACAAAAACCAAGAAGACACAGAAGAAACAAATTCGCCTTTTAACAGATACTTTGGAAAATCTGTATAAAAAGTGTTTATCAGAAAATCCGCACATAAAGCTGTCCTATAATAGCTTCTGTAAACTCAGACCATTTTATGTTTTTACACCAACTTTAAAGGATCGAAATACATGTTTATGCAAACGCCATGATAATGCCCAGTTTATGTTAGACAAATTGTCGAAACATAAAATCATATCATCTCAGATAAGCACTGTTTCCAACTTTGTAAATTCGCTTTGTTGTGATGTAGATGACAAATATCAATGTATGGTAGGCTTGTGTTCTAGTTGTAAGATTAAACGGATTTCTGTAGAGGATGAGAGAATTTTAGATATTGAAACTGACTGGTATCAGTGGGTAAACGGTAACAAAACTATCAAGGTCAAAACAGGTGATGAAAAAGAGATTAAGATTATCAAAAAAGATGTAATTAATGGAAAAATAGGTGATTTAATTAGATCATTATAAGAAACACTTGCTGATCTTTGTGTCCACGTATATAATATTGGTCATCAATATAAACAATCAAGGAACTTGAAAAGTAAATGTGTAAATGACCCAAAAAGCGCCATAATACATATTGATTTTTCAGAAAATTGGGAGTCAAAATATAACCAAGAAATCCAATCTGTGCATTTTGGAGGTTCTCACGTACAGGTAACCTTGCACACAGGTGTACTCTATGTCCTGGATCAATGCATATCATTCTGCACTATTTCTGACAGTACCAGACACGACCCTGCTGCCATATGGGCATACTTAGATCCTGTGCTCGCCTTTATAAATTTACATTTTCCGGAAGTAAAGAATCTCCATTTTCAGATCGACGGTCCATCTACACAATACAAAAATAAGTCAAATTTCTTTCTGTTGTCCAATATACCATTTGATAAGAAGTTTCATTTTGTTACTTAGGATTTTTGGGAATCTGGCCACGGCA